CTCTTAGTCTGACCCGTCACCCAGGACCTGTTTGCCTTGGGAGACCCTACCAGGGACATATAGCCCCCGACAACATAGCTCCTAGGATCACTCGGGTACTCAAACCCCTCCACCACAATAAGGTGGCGGTTCAAGGAGGGGAGCTAAAGTTAGATAAAATCTCTACCAGGAACACAATAAAATCATGCTAATGAGATCAGTTTCAATGACCAAATAGTGTAGTTTCAGCAGTAACACTGATAATGTGTGCATTTTTAAGGAAGTGTTTTTACAAGTCATTTTTCATTAAATGCAAATACATTACAATGTACAATACAGCACTGCTCATTACACCTACGTGCAGGTACTACATAGAGAAGCACTGGACGTTTAGTCATGCTACCCTGCAGAATTTTTCCCCTGTTGGAATGACAGAAATGAAGATGCAACTCAGCAAACACCATTAGCAAAGGGTCACTGTGCAGGTCTGCTTTTGACACAAAGTTGAGTTTAGTTGAATCCTTCTTGTCAATCCTCATCGATCTGCCTAGCCTGGCTTCTAGCGTGTACAAGATTTTTCCATAGCAACCACTGAAGGAGGAGGGCAAACCTCTAAAGCACAAGAGCAGAAGGTCAGAAGAACATAAAAAAAATTATGAGCCACACATATAAAAATGTAATCTGACCTTTACCCTTTCTATGTGACCTAATTAAACCTCATAAAAAACTACAGTCACAAAACATATTCACCTACTAAAACCTATTAAGATAAGATGCATGTACCATATTTTCTGGAGTACCATAAGTCTGGAGAAGACATAAGTTTGTCTGATCTAATTCATTATGGAACCATTAAAAGAATTATTACTTACTGGTAAGGGAACTGAAATGTGAATGGGTACACATGGCATCCTGGGGCAACAACACTGCTGTCTGAAAAAGACACAAGAAATATTGTAAAGCTACTAGTGAACAAGATGACATTCAGACATTTGTTTGTATTACACATGAGGCCTGGTCCCTCAGATGTCAGGTAATTTGGGGTCAGGGTTATAATGCAGTTTGATATCTGAATTCCAGGTCAGAAGTAGTGCAAGATTAAAGAGACAGGAATTGGACAAGCACCACAAACCTTTAAAAACCTTTCCACAAGTTTCTTGGTCAACAGCAGAGCATAAAAGTACACTTGGGGTTGTTTACAGTTAATGCCTGAACAACAGAGTGCATGGTCAACACAATCTTCACATCTCATGTTAATCTAATCAATTAGAGGAAAAGCTGGAATATGAAGAAAAATAAAATGGCTACACCAGAAACCAGCTTCAAGCTATCATATCATATTACAGGCTCTTTTTAAATCTGTGGGATACGTACAATACAAGAAACAATTGTAAAATGCTTACATGTTTCTCCATTTTGCTTTCTCAGTAGTACTTGGGTGTCTTTTTCTTAAGAAAGAAACAGCACATCGATTTATCAGCAGTTTGCATTTGTTACTTAACAAAAACATAATATTTTCACACATATCATGTTATGTCATGTTATGTCATGCAGATCCTAGAACCAGACATTTAGAGAATGTTTGCCTGGAAAGTTGTTTAAACTATGAATTAGTTACCAAAATAAATGCTGATTTATTCTCTATCATCTAATCAGTTCATTGCATCTTGTCCCAATTGTCCTTATGCATGAGAGAGTTACTCAAAGCCCTTTCCTATAAAAGGTAAAGTGTATTATTAAAATATTTTGCTTTGCTTAACATTTTACAACTATTTTTGGTGCTGTGCTGTTATTACTAAAGGGAGATGGTCATTTGTATCAATAACGCATGTTGATTGGCTGCTAATATTTAAAGAGTCCAAGAAATAAGAGCCATCTGTGGGCCCACAGATGGCACAGGCCCAGGTGGTCCCTCAGGACAACATGAATGTTAATAATGCTAATGTAATGCTAAGTTAGTTGAGGGACAGATTACTTGCTACCATTATGGTTATAGTAATTTTACCTCCTCATAAGTTATAGCTACATTTACACCACCCACAGAGCATGCAACGTTACAAAAATCAATCAAATAAAATCAAAATACATACAAAGGCAAGAGTTGTGCTCAAAAAGGACATAGAAGCAAGATTTGGAGTACAGTTTCAAAACTAAGGAAACTGGATTATTTTTTCATTTGCTCTTTATTGTTGTCAGCAAATGCTGTTAAAGATGAGCTAACCTTAGCCAAAAACAAAAGAAGATGTCCTGGCTAGCAGCACAGTGGTCCTCCTTCAGTGACATGGAGCCATGGACCAGACTTTTCCACATTTGAAAATTATAAAGCCAAGAAATTTGACCAAGACAGATCATAGAGAACTTTGCATAGTGCAAGACAAGCAGAATGTTGTACAAATAGTTGAGCTCATTAATTTCTAGCTGCTGATGAGTTGCAAGTTGCAATGATGTAGCAGCACAGTTTAGAGTGTGTTTACATTAGGCGGTGTTCAAAATGTAACATGCAGACTCACTGAGGTGAAGTGTAATTAGTGATGCATCCATGATTATATTTATTTGTACAGCTACATGTACATGTATGT